GCATATCCATACAATGGAATATTATTCAGCCGTGAAAAGGAAAGAAGAACTGATCCACTCACTCCCCAACATGGATGAAACGTGATAACATTAGTGAAAGAAGCCAGTCACAAAAATACCCCACAGGTTGTATGATTCCATTTATATAAAATGTCCAGATTAGGTAAACTTAGAGATAGAAAGTAGCCTAGGGCTAGGGGATGAGGAGGGAAATTAGGAGTCACTGCTAATGTGTACAGGGTTTCTTTCTGGGCTGATAAAAATGTTCTATTAACAAAACTTACTGTGGTGATGGTTAAGCAATTATGAATACACCATAACTCACTGAGCTGCATACTTTAAATGCATGGCTTGTACGGTATGTGAATTAGATCTCAATAAAACTGTTTAAAAAAAAAAAAAAGAAGCTGGGTGCAGTAGCTCACACCTGTAATCCCAGCACTTTGGAAGGCCAAGGCAGGAGGATCACTTGAGGCCAAAAGTTCAAGACCAGTCTGGGCAACACTGGGAGACCCCCATCTCTACATTTTTTTTTTTTAAATTAGCCAAGTGTGCCTGTAGTCCCAGCTACTCGAGAGGCTGAGGTGGGAGGATCACTTGAGCCCAGGAGTTCAAGGTTACAGTGAGCTGTGACTGGGCTATAGCACTATAGCCTGGGCGACAGAACGAGACTCAGTTTCAAGAAAGAGAGAGAGAGAGAGAGAGAGAGAGAGAGAGAGAGAGAGAGAGGTTAGCAATACTCCACATATCAGTAGCCAACACAGAAACAAACGTGGACAAAAGCACATTTTCAGTTAATGTGATTTCTAACCATTAAAACTCCAGGAAAAATTAACCAGAAAAGATGAAAGCATAGCTCAGCTGCTTCTAGGGGAAATCAGAGAATGAGGAAACAAAGCTCAAAGACGGAAGCTTTGAGTGAGTCTAGAACAGGGAAGCGAGGAAACAGTATCAGAGGATTCCACCACCACCGCTCACCTTCACTGGGCTCTTTTTAGAAACCGTTTTCCAGCGTGGGGAGGGATTCACCCAGACAAGAGGAAGTAAAAAATATATTGTAAGAGATGTGGAAAGTCAAACAATATCCCTACGGTTTCAGATTTCTTAACAGGAAATTTGTGTTGGCTGGAACTTCATGGTCTGCGTAGAAGTACAGCTCAGAGAGACAAGATTGAAGAGAGATGTCTGAAGAAAGTTGCAGGTTGGAAGAAGTTGGCCCTCTAGGGTACACAGAGCAGGAGAACCCAATGGGTGGGCCTGGTAGACCAAACGATCGCACCCATTCTTCCCTTCTCCAGGAATCTGTGTCTGATGCCGCTGTTCTTTCTGGTTCCTCTCCCAATGGCCACTTTCCACCTCGACTCTGGGCTCTGGAACAGAGCTGGGCAGATCAGTCCTTTTCTATCTCCCATAGACCAGCCCGCAGGGGTCCTGGGTACGTCCTCCCAGAGGTGCCCGCTGACCTGACGCCGTGTTCTCTGCATGGCTTGATGCGGAACACAAACCGGCACAATAATGCACCCGGGAGGACAGGATCACAACCTCACAAAGCCCACACTGACGGTACAACAGAGTGACCGGAGCAGTACTTGTCCCCTCTCCACAGCGCTCGTGGAACCAGCAAACTGAACGCACAAATCTTCAAAATGTTAAGCTTCTAACAAATGGCACTCAACGGTCAATTGAAAAATGGATAAATTTTAAAAGACTTTTTTTATAGAGGCACTCTATGGATTACCCGCAGCCACTGAAAGAATGAGACAGGATGCCTGTGACCCAGGGTTGGATGAAAAAGGCAAAATTCAGACAGCGTATCAAGAATGAACACTATCTTACACAAAGAAGGAAAGGAGGAGGAGGATCCTTGTAGATGTGCAGTGCTCGGAGGGGAAAATAACTTTTCAAGAATGCAAATTTACGCCACGAATATAAGACAGAGTTAGTACTGGGCAGTACGCAGGGCACCAACCGGAATTCTGTGTGTGACTGGCAGAACTTGGTGCGATCGCTCCACGAATAAACAGAGTCATTGAGTCATTAACACACACACGGCCCTGAGCTGAGCACCATCCCCCTTTGAGGATGGAGAAATCTACGTCTTTATATCGTCAAATCATAAACCCAAAGTGACTGTTTCTCTAAAATTATGAAAACTAGGAGGACAGGGGCAGATTTCTACAAAGATAAGGAGGTATACTGAAATTCACTGCACTCCAGTGATTAATGAGACAGAACAAATAGCGATAGGCACAAGCAACAGCAGGGAATTTATTTTTAGCTCAAACATTAGGCGACATCATTACAAGCACAATTAAAGCCAGCAACAAGCTGCCAAAACAATTGAAAAACTGCCAACACCGGAGAGATGCGAGACTCCACCAAGGGACACCAGGCAAGGGCAGCCCGAGGATAACTGAATCAGGCCTTCGAGGGTGAGGGGATCAGATGACTACAAAGGCTACGTGTACATCACTCACACACCCTCCACAAGTCCAGATTCTGAAATCATTCACTTGCAGCTATTATCCAAAATTAAATCCCTTGTCCCCTAAGAATAAAGCACAAATATCAGCACGATGGAGTCATGCCTTGCACACGTTAATACCTGCACTTTTAAAAATTATGAATGTATCAAAGAAGTCACAGATGTCTATAACCCCCAATAATCAACTTTTTAGAAAACAATTAGTTAGAAATACAGCCATCTGAAAATTCTCCGTTGCTATTTTTCTTTGAGAAAAATACTGCGATAGTCATCTCAGCAGAGAGCCAAATTTCATCAAAAGCAGTCAACCCCTTGAATATTCCATTAGCGTAGGTAAGTAAATGCCAAATACTCTGTTTAGATTGCACGGAAAGCTCTCCTTAGTGAAACTGTAATTACAAATGAAAAGAGGTCATAAAGCATCATGATCCCATTGATAAAAAAAATTACTGACAGACATAGAGACATCTGAAGAATGATCATCAAACGTCAATAGTGAAAGTATCTGGTGGTGGAGGTTTGGATAATGTTACTTTCAACTGTGTGGCTTTTGTGTGATTTTTCTATCACAATAAAACTATAAAGCTCAGGACCCAGACTGCTGGACTCAACTTTCAGCTTTACATCTTATTAGCTGTGTGATCCTGTGCAAGTTACTTACCTCTCTGTGCCTCAAGACCTCACCTGTGAATGAGAATAATAACAATCTCTACCTCACAGTGCTGCTGGGAGGGCCAAGTGCACGGGTGCACACAGGCACTCAGAACAGCGTGCGGAACACAGCAAGTCGTCAGGAAATACCGGCCACGGCAGAAGCAGTAGTGCTGCTAATACTAAGCCAGCTATTTGGAAAATTGACTTATGAGGCTCATTACAGGCAGCTGCAAAAACAACTACTTCATGGCCAACGGTAAAAAGGGGAGCAAGAAAACCTCTCGGCTTAAATTTAAATTAACAACCCAAACAAAACCTAGCAGATCAGCACAAGGAACACGCGTATGGAAAGAAGTGAGATCCCTAAGTCGACATTTTTCCTTGAATCTGCCACCCCATTTGAGGAATCTCGGGCGCAGCTGAGGACCAGCGTTAAAGAGGTGCCCCAGGCAGTGGCTTCGTGCGCACAGAGGTCTGTGCTCTCAATTTAGCACCAAAATAGAAGACATTCTAATGAGGTTAGCGTTTGTAGGCCAGAAGATTCATCCCAATTTTTTAACGAAAAGTGTTCAAAATGCCTTAATCTACAAATGTGGGAACTTTAGTTTTCAAGGGGGATTTAGATAAGATGAAAATTATATAAACTGTTAATATAATAACACTCGATTCGTTAGGAAATATGGATTATCCTGAACCCTGGATCATTCCTTTTAGAGAGAGACAATAAACAGAATCAATAAGTGAATCGAATGCTACATTAGAACATAAGAGCTGTGGGGAAAAATGAAGCAGGAAGTGAACGGAGCGGGGCAGGAAAAGAAGGTGGTGACATTTAACCAGGGCAGGTAGAGAAGGCGACATCTGAGTTTGGATCAGACAAGGGAAGTTCAGCCAATTTTTCTCCATCATCACCAGCTCTGATCGAAATTTTGATCCGGCTAAAAGTTCCCGATTAAGACCAGGTATTGGTATCTCTGCGTGTGATTTACCCTTGGCCACCCCTTTCGATTTTGGTAACATGCAGTTGAGTTTTTACACAATACCCTGTTATTTGTGACGGTATTCATTATTCCCCTTTTTTAAATCTAAAGGCATAAGCTTCTAAAATGTATAATCTTCTCCATAAGTATTTTCCACAAATAGAACTAAAAATAAGAGAAAAGTCATCTGCTGTTTCTGGTCCCAGCATCCATTAGCCCACTTTCCAGTAAGAGATCCCACATTTTCCTCAGGGAACTAGGCCTACCTGACTTCCCAGCCAATGTGGTTCATATGCGGGGGACACAGGCCCTACCCCTAGGGCTCCGTGTATTACCCGGCCCTACAGCGGGGCACCAAAGCGCCTGAACACTGCTGCCTTTGGTTCAGGAGTGCAAGCGTGACCCAAGGCTGGCCGGTGAGAACGCACAGGCGCTAACATGTTCGCACTGCTGCCAGGCGCCAACACGTATGCTCCCCGTGGCAGGAGAGGTGCTTTCTCCCCCTTGTGGGGTGGGTAAGGAGGCCGAACGTAGGTGTGGAGTTGCTAATGCAGCCATCCTTGCCACCCCTGGGGAAAGGAGGGAGGTGAGTCTGCCTAAAAATGAAGCCAATCCAGAGTGCAACCACAATTGCACTACATGGAAAGAAATAGAAACAAAGAGAGACGGGCGCCTCTGACAATACACCAGGGGACTGGAACTCAGCCCTGCCTCACCACAGGTACCCTTTTAGACTTTGCACGTACATTTCCTCTTTGCTGAAATCATTTCAAGCTAGATTTCTGTCACTTGCAACCACTAGAGTCCTGCCTAATACAAAGAAACCTTCAGAAACTGACCTCCGCATTTCCACTAGAAAGCCAACAACGGAGTACACTCACCCGTTCCTGACCAGCAGTGTCCCAGATGAGGAACTTGTGAAGTTCATTTCCACAAGGCACAGTTTTGGTCATAAAAGATGCCCTGAAAAAGAGAGTCAGCACCCCCGCATTACTGCATGGTTTCTTCATAAACATTCGTGAGTCAAACAAGTTAATGTCCGTCCTCAGCAGGACTCCAACAGCTCTTGTCCTAGGGAACCACTAAGAGAGGCAAAAGAAAATATTCTGCATTTTCTTAGTCCAGCCGGGAGTTCAGAAACAAAACAAAGAACGCATTTAGAAGACTCTGTCTTCCAAACCAGTTAGCTTCAATTGTTCTAGGATAATACTTCCCAGATCTCAGCAAAGAATATAAGCTTGGATTTTAAAAACTTACTACAATTAAGAGTGAAAAACACAGCTGGCATTTTGGCATGTTATGGTTTTGGCTTTGCAATGGCACAAAAGGAAAGTTGCCTTACATATTTACGTACGCTGGTATGAACCCAGCACTAGTAGCAACTAATACAATACTATATCTAAGTCCCAACCTGACTGCATAAATGCAAGGATAAAAACTGGTTGTCTAACAAATACTCACGTTTTCTCTATAAGAAAAGAAGATTTTAAAGTCTCTGTAGATCATGAAACATTTGCTATTTTTTTTGCATATTTACTCTTAATAAGCATTTTCTCTGTGCCCATGAAAGGTATAAAAATGCAAGGAATGTTTAATAGCCTTGACTTTTCTTCTGTGAGATAAAGTTTTCCATCCATTAAAAAACAGAAAGTATCCCCAACAGTGGGACAATCTGACATGAGAAGCCTCCTGAAGTGAAGGAATAAGAAGTAGATATATCACCTATGTAGCATTCTGGCCACAAATGTTTAATCTGAATTTAAGGAAACAATCGGGCAAATGTTGAATGTTGCACATTTTACAAGACAAGATGGCCTGAATGCTTCATAGAAGTCAATGTCATGAAAAGCAAACAAAAGGCAGGAAGATTTCTCTAGAATCTAGATTGAGAGGAAAGAGATAAAACAACCAAATGCAATATATGAGCCTTGGCTGGATCCTGGATTGGGGGGAAAACAGCTTTAAAAGAGATTTTAAGGACAATTGCAGAAATTTAAATTTGGACTATATGTGAGACATTGTTACTGAATCAAATTAATTTTCTAGGTATGATAATGGTATCCTTATTATGTACTTATTCTTAGGAGATGCACACTGGCCCACCCCACAGCACTCATCACAGTAATGTTCCCTCAACCTCCAATTCTCCCAGGAATCAGAGGTCCCAAGGAGAAAAGTGTATGTCCCTGCAATTCCCACACTACCCCAACAACAAACCGAAGGCTAATAGAGGGTTCTAACTACCAACGTACAATTGCCCTAAATGGAAATTCTACATATTCTTCTAAATGATGTGATCCAGTATTACCAAAACCACATCTATGGCCGGGCGCGGTGGCTCACGCCTGTAATCCTAGCACTCCGGGAGGCCGAGGCGGGCGGATTGTTTGAGCTCAGGAGTTCGAGACCAGCCTGAGCAAGAGCGAGACCCCGTCTCTACTAAAAAAAAAAATAGAAAGAAATTATCTGGACAACTAAAAATATATAGAAAAAATTAGCCGGGCATGGTGGCGCATGTCTGTAGTCCCAGCTACTCGGGAGGCTGAGGCAGCAGGATCACTCGAGCCCAGGAGTGTGAGGTTGCTGTGAGTATGATGATCAGCACTCACTCTAGCCAGGGCAACAGAGTGAGACACTGTCTCAAAAAAAAAAAAAAAAAAAACCACATCTATTCCTTTATTTCTTTAAAAGTGCTTAAAATATATATCCTGGACTACTGATAAGAGCAAATACATTCCAAAAATGTTAATATCTTTATTACTTTTCCCATTATAAAAGCAGTACATACTTCACAAAAAAGAAATTCAAAAAATAAAAATGAAGGAAATAAAAATCAACCATGTCTCACCACCTAGCCACAGTCTCTGTTAATAAGTTGGTAAATGCCCTCCCAATTATTTTTATACCACTTTTTTACGGGTTCATTCATTCAATTCTTTTTTCCCTTTTATTTTTAGTTGCTACACAATAATTGTACATATTTGCAAGATACAGAGTAATATTTCCATACATGTTTGCAATTGTGTAATGATCAAATCAGAGCAATTAGCAAATTTATAACCTCAGACACTTATCATCTCTTTGTGTTTGGAACATTCAAAATGCTCTCTTCTAGCTACTTGAAAATACACAATACATAATAAATTGTTAACTATGGTCACCCTAGTGTGCTATAGAACACTAGAGCTTATTTCTCCTATCTAGTTATAATTTTGTGTCAGTTAACAATCCTCTCCCTATCCTTCTTTCTCCTACCCTTTCCACGCTCTAGTAACCAGCATTCTACTCTCTACTCTGTGAGATCAACATTTTTAGCTTCTGCGCAAGAGTGAAAACATAAAGTATTGATCCTTCTGCGCTGGGCTTATTTCACTTAACATAATGGCCTCCAGGCTTGTCCATGCTGGCACAAATGACGAGATTTCTTTCTTTTTGTGGCCGAATAGTATTCCAGTGTGTATTCTTTATCCATGGGTGGACACTTGGGTTGATTCCATGTCTTGGCTATTGTTAATAGAGCTGCAATCAACACGGGGATGCCGGTATTACCCTGATATGCTGATTTCTTTTCCTTTAGATAAATACCCTGTAATGAAACTGCTGGATTGTATGGTTGTTCTAACTTTAGGGTTTTTTTTAGAAACCTCCATGCTGTTTTCCATAACGGCTATACTAATTTACACAGTGCTTAATTTACCAACCATGTATGAGAGTTCCCTTTTCTCCACATCCTTGTTATTTTTTGTCTTTTTGATGATAGCCATTCTAACCGGGGTGAGATATATCCTTGCAGTTTTGATTTGCATTTGCCTCATAATTAGTGATGGTGAGCACTTTTCATATGCTTCTTGGCCATTTTTATGTCTTCTTTTGAGAAATGTCTATTCAGATCCTTTGCTCATTTTTAAATCAGATTATTTACTTTTTTGCTATTGAGTTTGAGTTCCTTGTATATTCTGGATATTAGTCCCTTGTATTTCAAAGTTCAGTTTGAAAGTCATGAATAGTAAAGTAGCCTTTTCAAGAAGCTTCAAATAATTGAATAAAATATTTTATAAGCCAAAGATAACTGGTCATTTCCAAACATCCTGGTACCTTCAATATACATCATGTCATGAGTTTTAATACTTTGACTTATCATTATTTTGCAGTATGAAATATCAAAAGCTGATCTTGGAGAACTAAAGACAGAGTTATTCCTTGTATGAATCCTCTGATGTTCTACAGTTTTGATCCTTGGATAACGGTCTCAGCATGCACACTATGTTTGTGCAGTTCCATCAGAAATGTATATTTTGATGTCTAGTGGGTTATGAAACCTGGATAAAGCCTCTGCCACATACATTACAGTTATATGACTTCTCTTCAGTATGGACTCTCTGATGTCAACTAACGCTTGAACTAATGATGAAGGGTTTGCCATACTCATTGTGTTTATAAGGATTCTCTCAAGGATGAATTCTCTGATGTTGTGCAAGGAGTGAATTGTACCTGAAGACTTTCCCACACTCATTATAATTGTAAGGTTTCTCTCTAGTGAGAACTTTCTGATGAGGGTCAAGGTTTGATTTTTTGACTAATGACCTTGCCACATAAATCACATTTATATCGTTTCTCTCTAGAATGGATTATCTGATGTATACTGCAGTGTGAGCCATGATTAAAGGCTTTGCCACACTCATTACATTTCTAAGGTTTTCCTTGGTGTGCCTTCTGTTCTTGTATAATGAAGAATAAGTGAAAACAGTCCCATATTTATTAGAAATATGGGTTTTGAGCCTAGAAGTAATTCTCTGGGGTGGTGAAACTGAGGAACCATCGTTGATAGATTTCTCAAAGTGATTACATTCATAAATTTTCCCTTCAGCTTGAAAGAGCTGCAGTTCGGGCAGATGTGACACAAAGCTTAATCGAAGCTGACTTTTAATAGGCCTGTTACCCACATCCTCTCATGTTACCTCTCATGTTGGTCCTTCTACCAGTAAGATTTTCTTTTCTGGTCACAGGCATCTTGTAACGTCTTTCATCATCTCTCCACCGATACTCAAAGTCATGGCTATTTTTCCAGATTTGCCTGAAGCAAAAGTCTTCAATGTCATTGCTTTCGTGTCTTTCCAATGACACTGTGTGGAATACTTATCATGTGCTACTTTTCCCTTTTGGAAGTAATTCCTTGATCACACATTTAGGAAAGATCTTTCACGGAGAAGGAAGCAGAGAGTTCCCAGAAGCCAGATGACAGAGTTGGCCGTCACAACGAGGGCTTTGCATTTATTTCTGTTTGAGCTGCAGCATCCCTGTGATCACATCTCTGATACATTTCCACCCTTTTGGTGTTTTTGCTATTTTCACTTGGTCTCCACCGCCTAGGGCTCTTTCCCTTGGGCTAACATGAAGATGACATTCAGGTCAGGAGAGAGTTTCCTGCTGGGAAGACCAGGTTCCTGTACTTCTCCCGCATCACTTCCCTGTATAAAGTGCTCTGAGCAGGGTCCAGGCATGCCCAGTGTCCTGAGAGGATGCTATGGCCATATCCCTGAAAGTCAAGCATCCCTGAGTAAGAGCCATTCCTGACTCCTCCCCTCTTCCCTCTTCCTCCTCTTCTCCAGGCTTCTTCCTCAAGCAACAGGCATCTTTAAATCAATCGCGCTGCAGGGTGATTTCTCCATGAGATCTGCTTCTGGGTCTGCAGAAAACTATTCTTATACAACTCTTACCCCCAAAACTGATCATACTCTACATAAATTTTGTTTTTCCTCCACTTTATATATCGTGGACATCTTTCCATTTCTATGAATACACATCAATATCATTATCTAAAATGACTGAATATTATACACCATGTTATGGACTTATTCACTACCCCAATAATGGACATTTTGGTTACTTATTTTTCACTATTATGACAATGATTCAGTGAATATCCTTGTACTTATATTTTTATGTTCTTCTATAACTATTTCCTCAGACTTAATTTTTAAAAGTAGATATGCTCCACCTTGGCTGTATCTGCCAAACTTAGGCTGTCTCAACATGCCCATGGCAGCGTATGAGATGGCCTCTTCCCCAACCATTATTAATTTCTCAAGTCTTTTCCAATACGATAGGTAGAAAATGATACCTCATTACTGTTTTCATTATGCTTGTTAGAAGCTTAAACATCACTTTAAGGTTTATTAGTCACTGTATTTTTCTTTTGTAAATTTCTAGCTCATGATCTTTACCCACTTGTCAATTGGGGTGTTCATCCTTTTCTTTTCTAAGATTGTTAACTTGTTAACAAGCTACAGGCTACAAATAGGGTAAAATCTCAGACTTTATAATTCTTGAAACATTTTTTTGTGATCACGTTCCTTTAAGCCATTTCTTAACTACAAGATGTGGTAGGTTTTCTCTGCCTACACAGCTCCAATCACTGGCCTATCAAACAAGTACTCTTGAGCATCTACTTATTCCCCACCACGAATTTTCTCCATTTCTGATACAGACCATCTCCCCTGTTCTCAACAATCCTACAGGTTTCCCAAAATATACAGACACCTTGTTTCCCTTCTGAGGAAAACAAACCATGCTCTAGAGCATGATAGAGCATCATAGAGCATGATATCTTCAGGGTGAAAAACAAGCCGAGGCCAAGTTGTAGGAGTGTAAAAGCAAGCACCTGCCAAACAGCACAGCAAAAGCACATCTGGCCAAAGAGTCCAGAGGAAAGGAGAGGTGGGTAGGAAAACACTTGTGCATTCCCAGGTCTGGAGCTTGGAGTTGAACAATCCACCTCCACCCCTCCCCATGCATAAGAGTGGGAATGCTGACGTTAGATTAATCCAGAAAAGGAAAATCAATCTGCTCCCCAGACTGTCCAGACTGCCCTGATGTACGGGAGGACAGCGCTGCCAGGGTTTACCAGCAGGCGACTTAATGCAAGAGCATCAGAGATTTGCCCTGTGTATCATCTTCTGTCTGGAAATAAAGCCAACACGATTTGCAGAATAATGCTCTCCAAAGTCAAGGAAATGGCCTTGGGCAGTGGCATGAGGAAAGTTGGCTGAGACCATAAGCCTGGACATATACTCGAAGGGCCCTTAATTTCTGTCCGAGTCAACAGTGGGGGGGATTGATTCTCACCGGCTGGGATGAGAGCTGTGGCCCTGCCTGAGACTCAGGCACAAAGCGACCTGTCTGCGTGCTCTGAAAGGAAGCAGCGTGAAGAACACACAGGAACTTACCCGATGGTAGGGCTGATGTTGTGGTCAAAGTGATCCTGGACGAATCGACACACGATGCTTGATTTCCCAACCCCGGTGTCCTAGAAAAGAATGAGGATACAGCCATGAAGATCCAGACTGCCAGCTCTGCCCTGACAGAGACGTATAACCTGAAGGCAGCAGCAGGAATTTCTGGTTGATGGGACTCGGGGAGGGGGCGGGAGAATATTTCTTCTATTTCTCACCAGTATTTTCTATAATGAAATTGCATTGCTTTCATAGGAAGAAAAGAAGTATGGTGAAAATAAGTTTCAGAAACATGTCCCACATATATACAATAATTAACCTAGAATGAGCATATTCACAAAACATGTATGTCCAAAAATCCAGAAACTTTGGGAGGGATCTAGAGAAGTATGTTAACGCATCACATTGTTTTGGTAGAAAGAGAATTAATGTTATTAACCTTAGCACTCAAAATACACATGATCTATTTCTCTAGGTGTTACCCTATAAGACCTACGAATTCTAAGTTCTACATTTCTAATATTTTTCTCCTTAGAAACTGATGGCTGAATAATAACCTCCAAATTTTGCTTAATTATATAAAGATCGTGTCCCAGATCTTTTCTTCCTCTGTTGAATAATTCTTTAAAGCTGATTAGTATAAGGGTCCAGTTACACACTGGAAATTGAACACATGCATTTATATCCACTCCCTTCCAAAATCCCTGTAAAATGGTTTAAGAAATAAAAGATACAAATTTACAAGGTCAAAGAGACAGGAGAAGAGACAACACCAAAGAAGGGACATCGGTAAAATTCAGGAGGACGCTGAAACCAAAGTGCCAGCAGGGCAGGGAGCCAAGGAGAAGTCAATTCATGCCACAGAATCCCGAAAGATATCAAGAACTAGAAGATAAGGCCAAAAACTGCATCAGTTGAAAGGCTGCACAAAAACATATCCTGGGAGCCCTAGGCCACATAACCAGGGGACAGCCTCCCGAGTCCCAGGAGGAGATGGGAGGTTTACACCCCAGCAAACCTGCATCAGACAGGGAGGGGCTGGGCTATGAGGCACAGCTATGGGAGGGGCCACGTGCCAGTCACCCTGTGCAGGATTAGCCCAGGCAGAAGCTATGAGGGTTCCCCTCCAGGTAGATAAAAAAAGCCCTATAGTTCCTGATATTTGGGGTCCCCCAACTAAAGGCCACGTATACACCAGTCGACAAGCCCTAGTACAAACAGAGCTTTCAATTTGCATTTTAATCTTTTAAAAATAAACAGCTAAGAAACACCTAGAAATTAAAAATATGATGTGGAAATTAAAATTTCTAACTCGTCAAGAAATTGCCCAGAAGGTAGAGCAAATTCACTGCCCTCAGTTGCTCTTGGCTGCTCTTCTGCGGGAAGCGGCAAGGCAGGAAGAGGCAGTGGTCTAAGACTTTGTCAACACAGAGACAACATTGTCAAAAATATTCTTTTTTTTTTTTTTTTTTTGAGACAGAGTCTCACTGTGTTGCCTGGGCTAGAGTGCCGTGGCGTCATCCTAGCTCACAGCAACCTCAAACTCCTGGGCTCAAGCGATCCTCCTGTCTCAGCCTCCCGAGTAGCTGGGACTACAGACATGCGCCACCATGCCCGGCTAATTTTTTATATGTATTTTTAGTTGTCCAATTAATCTCTTTCTATTTTTCTTGCTCAGGCTGGTCTTGAACTCCTGAGCTCAAACAATCCGCCCGCCTCGGCCTCCCAGAGAGCTAGGATTACAGGCGTGAGCCACCGCGCCCAGCCAAAATATTCTTAATTGAAAGAATCATGGAGACATTTTGAGATCTAAAAACAAAAAGGAAACAAAACATATTTATTGTGGGAAGGAAAAAGAACTGATCCGGGTCTCTTATGTTAAAAGTATAACTTTAAAAGCCAAAAGATCAAGGACAAAATGTTGAAATTCAGAGGCATGTGCTTTTCTTCAGATACCAAAATATGAAATGAGATTTGAAATACCAGCCAGCAGTCTGAATCATTCTCACCCCTTTTCGATCCTGTCCCTCAAATGGAGGACAATTCCAGCAAACCTGGGGCAACAGGGCAATTGGCCTGTAATGCTCGTTGGAAGATCCTCTTCCTGAAGTCTTACCTGCCGGGGAGAGCAGGCTGATCCTGAGCCCTCACAAAACACAGCGCCAAGGCTGCTGTTTATCTGCAGCGTGCAAATCGATGCTCAGAGTTCAAAGAGGTGACGGCAGAATTAAAACATCAGCTCATGAGATCCCAATCAATGCCGCTGCTATTTCTGCTATTTCTGAGCTGTACCTTTAGTACGGATTCTGGCTCATGTTCCCCCGCAATCCCCCAAACCACAGCTCAGTTCTTTTTATCTCAGTTGTTTTTAAGGCCCCTGTGGATGAGCAGATCCTGGCCATACTATAGCCCACACAACCCCCAAGAAATTGGAAACCGAGGGACCGTGACATCCTCCCCTGCCCTTGAAGATTAGGAAGATGCCCTTTGCGGCAGGCAGCACTCCTTCATGAGGCCAGCTGTTTCTGACAAACTGCCACGTAGACAGGATGGGGACCTCTCCCAACACTGACCATGTTCATTTCTATTTTTCTCCATCACGGCTTAGAATTCTCTTTCTCAGGGCTTTTCCATTCATTCATTTACTCATTCATTCATTCTTCACTCACCCAACAAGCGCTCACCAAGCCCTCCCTTCCCAGTGCAAACAGTAGGTCAGACCCACTGATGAGGAGATAACGTGCCACCCTCCCTGGCCTCCGGGAGTTCCAGCACAGTGCCAGACATCCAGCAGGGGGAAGTGTCAGGACACAGAGGCAGGGCAGGGCTGCCCTCTGTAGCTAACCCAGGCACCCCAAGCTCAGGAGCCAACTTCTCACCTCGCAAGCTTTGTTCCTTTTTTTGCCTTCCCAGGTATCCTTTCGGCTCAGACCCAGCCTCACTCTACATCGGAGCCACAAAACTGCCCCTTGGAAGTGCCTCTACTTCCTCCCAGCCCTGGGCCCTTCCTCTTCGAGGCTACAGGGCCCTCAGGGCCCAGGGCTCTGACTAGATGGCGGAACAAAGGGCAGCTTTGGAGTCCAGCTGTTTACTCCACACAAGGGCTCTGCTCAAAACAACAGACCCCAAGTCCCCTAAGCAACCCTACCAATCCTGCAAGGCCAACCCTCAAAATGCTCTTGAAGGTGAAAACTTAAAAACCCATCTGACAATGATTCGACTCTACGCGTCATGTACAAAGGGCTCCAGCTTCCACGCCAGCTTGTCTGGACAGTTAGAACTGCAGGCCCGCTCCAGCCGGACTTCCCCAGGGATTGCTGTGCAGTCAAATGCACGCAGTGTTTCTTTTTAAAAAAAACAGGCAACTCAACATTTCTCTCTCTCGTGCATCTGATAGGAAAGAATAACGCGCCAAAGGATAGGCAAAGCTTCAGTTTCTCTCAGAAAAGGAAACATTCTTCCAAAGAGCAGCACAGAATGCTCTGGCCAGTGGCTTCGCGACAGCTCCAGGCCGGCGGCTCCGGGACACCCGGGCGCTGCCGTTCCCCGGCCGGCCACCAGGGGCAGCCCCGCTCGGCGCCGCGACCGCCGCGTCCCCCGGAAGCTCGCCGGGACTGCGGCCCCCGTGACTGCCACTCGTGAAGACAGAGGTGGAAGCAGAGAAGAGAATAAAGCCTCGTGGGCGAAGAAAGAGTCTATTAACAGACGGAAGGTGAGGAGAGGGTCACAGCGGCCCACCTTCGTTCCGGCCGCCCCCGTGGAGACCCGGCTACGGAGCGTCTCTCCATTCCCTGATTCTGGGAACGCGGCGGGCCGTCTGGTCCAATCCCCCGGTTTTGCAAGAGGAAACCGTGTGATTTCCTCAGGGTCACACAGCTAGTTGGTAGAAGCAAAACCAGCATTTTTGAGTCCTAGTCAAAAGCTCTCACGGCTCTTACCAGGTTAAATCAACCTCCCTGCTAACTGTAAATTTCTTTTCTCTTTTTTCAAGTCCAATTTCTAGAACTCACAAGTACTTTTATCACTGCCTTCTAGTTTCCCCTTGCATGGCTCAAATCACTCGGGAGCCTCATGTGTTCTGAAGATGCAGCAGCTGCGTCTTTGGCAGTAACGAAAGGAGCCGCACTGCTGACTGGCATGGGGGGCAGAGAATAAAACATTCCGATGCCACAAACCCGGAATAAAGTTCAGTAAGATCCTCCCCGTGGGCTTATCGCAGTTTCATGCGGCTCGTTTGCACAGCAGGCATCAGATCTGTGTGGAGACGGAAGCCTGGCTCCGTCTACCCCCTGGGAAATGAGTCCCCCAGAGGACATTCCTCCCACAGCACAATCCTCTGAGAACCGCTCACCCGGAGATGACCACCTCTGCTGTTCTGTCACATTGGTTAATCACGGGCTAATCTATAATTATGAAATCAGAAACCACAGACTTTCAGCTGCTGCCACATAAAACCTTGGCACTACCAATCTGTGAACACCAAGTGCTGACATCCGATTAATTCCTAGACTGTTGCAACAGCTTTCAGGTTTGCCGTGCCCCGAGACAGAGGATGGTCACCCTGGGCAAATACATCACCACCGTCGAACGCCGCTCTCGTGGCGGATATCGCCTATCAGCCCAGGACACATTATCTCACTGAACCTGAAAAAGCCCTCAACGTCTTTTCAGGACTCAAGGTGGGCACAAGAAGAAACAGCTGTCCTCTCCGGCCTCTGCACTCTTCACGACGGACGTCCACCGCCCTCCCCTGACCCACCCCCAACTCCCTAAGCACTGCTCTGCAGACCTTTTAGAAACCGTTACAGCTGGTAAAGTGCTTTAGGAAACTAATAAGGAATACACGTTGTTGATAACATTATAAATCAACATGACTCTCATGGAAAGGAAATTACAAACTATAACAAGACCCACCGACTCAGGAATTCCATGCCTAAGAATGTAGTTAAATGAAGGGAAAAAATGAGCACAAAAAAGTTTAGGGTAGTATAACTTACAAAAATGAGAAATGGTCTAAATAAATTAACTGTAAGTTAAATGAATTATAGCATATACGGTAGTCTTTTAGACTTCG